TTTTGCATGTTGCATGACTTACAGCGTTCTCTCCATATGCAGCACAAATCATTTCAGTGGCTTCAGCAGCATTTTTCTTCAGATGAAACGCGAAGTGGATGGAAAATCGAATATGCTCTTTTGTAATTGCCATCGTGAACACTACTGATTTTTGAGGTTATGTGCATCAAACGCCAAACCGTATCGCATTTCAGGAGGTTAAATGTTACTGTTTTAAAACCCCAAAAGGGCGGGAAGATATATAAAATTTAAATTGTTATTTCGGTTGTATCAAATCTAAAGCTCAGAACTTTTTTGTACACCTAATATATATATATATATCAAAAAGATGTATTAATTATAAAAAATATATCATCTGAAAAATAAGTAAAAATTAAAAGTTCTATTGTTTGGATGCTCGAAGTATTCGTACAGTTGAGAAATTTAGCTTATAATATCAGAAATACATGCAAAGCTCATTTGTATATACTAGAATAGAATGTATTTTTTATTGTATAAAATTGCTAATTAATGTTTATTTTTCACAAATAAGACTTTTTTTTATAAAAAATTTCCTTGTACGAATACTTTTTGCTTTTACTGTATATTATATATACTTTTTTGAATTTTAATGAAAATAATTTTTACATAATAATTACATGTCAAGTGTTATAAATATACAGAATATATAATAAAGTACATAAGTATATACACGTATATGTTTTTCAATTAAGAAATGTACTTACGACAAATTTCTTGCTGATTTTTGCAACAGTTTGTTGGTTCTTCCCGTAAATAGCAACCATCATGTATCTCTATCCTGGTACATTGGTATTCCAAACACTGAAACGCAGCACTATATGGGAAAATTGGAGTTTAATCAAAAGATTTCAATGATCTTTACATTTTTTATAAATTAGTTGTAATTGATTAAACATTTAATATTTTTACGTAAGATTAAATACATTTTTTTATATCCAATATGTTTTTTTTATAAACTTTGCATTGTAAAATGGTGGTTTAAAGACGAAAAATTTAGATACTCTATAATGTAAATAAATGATGTGTCACTGTTCGATAATCAGAAATCCGTCAAAGGTCCTAACAAATAAAGACAAATATGAAATGCGTAATATGATGTAATTTAAATTAAATAACATCATCTCGTCTGAAATATGGAAGCATAGCAATACTTTTTCAAAAAATTATTATTAATAATTTATTCATATAAAAAAATACTCAGCTATTTTTACAAAAATATATATAATTGCATATTGCAAAATATTCTCTAAATATAAAATTTACCTTTTTTGCATGGCATATATGACAAATAAATTCAAACCGATAAAT